TACCACTACTGTGCATGTGTGTCAACGACAGAAAGGCAGACGTGGCAGTGGAAGGTGTCAAAGCAGTTTGGAGAGAAAAACAAAGTAAAGAAAAAAAAAAGAAAATGATTAATCAATTATTAAATTAGTCATCGATTATTTTAATAATCGATTAGTCGTCGATTAATTGTTGCAGCCCTACCACTGACCACACCATTCTACTTGAAAAATATAACAAATACGGTATTAGAGGACCAGCACTACAGTGGGTGTTTAGTTATTTAAAGGACAGAAAACAGTTTGTACAAATAAATTATACAAGATCTGAATTAAGTAATATTACATGTGGGGTTCCTCAGGGTTCTGTACTTGGACCAAAGTTGTTTATTTTATACGTAAAGGATTTGGTAAATGTGTCAGGGTTGTTTAAATGTGTTTTATTTGCAGACGACACTACATTTTTTTGTTTTGCTAAAAATATAGAACGGATGTTGGTAATGATGCAGATAGAATTTGTTAAAATACAAACCTGGTATGAGCTTAATAAATTATCATTAAATTTAGATAAGACAAATTATATGATATTTAATAATAGAAAGAAAACAACTTGAGATGTGAAGTGAAGTGTCTGGGCATTATCATAGATGAAAAGTTGACATGGAGACCTCATATAAATCATTTAAGAACAAAAGTAGCCAAATCATTGCAGTATTATACAAAATAAAGGATTTATTTAATGATAAAAGTCTGTTTATATTATATAATGAAGTAATTATTCCACATCTACTGTATTGATGTTTGGGGAAATCATGCAAAACAATTACAAATCCTATTTTTATTTTACGGAAAAGAGCGGTAAGAATTATCACCATATAGTATTTTATCAGTTATAGGGCTCATAAAAACATTACCTTCAAACATTCGGTTACACTTTGTTAAAACAGACAGTTGTTATAATCTCAAAGGGACAGAGATGTTTGTTAAACCCAGATTTAGAACCAGTTTAAAGGAACGGAGTACTTCAGTCCAGGGAATTAAATTATGGAATAATCTGGAAGATGACATTAAAAATGCCAGATTAATGTGTATGTTTAAGAGAATGATAAAGAATCATTTGCTGGAGAAATATGTAAATGTATGAACTGTTGTTCAAGGAGTTAAACCTTTGTGTTTTTTTATAAACTAAAGTTTATTTTTGATTGAATTTATTGATTTGAGAAAAAGGTTTTATCTTCTGCTACCTTTCATTTAATTTATGATTTGTGTTTTTGTTGTTAGTTGAATTTCTGTTGTTGTTTTTTAAAGAAATGAATAAATAATGTAATAGTTTGACATCAGGTGTCTCTCTGTGTTTGACAGGAAATGAAAGAACAGATGTTTAGTCCAGCTGCTGACAGAACAAACAAACAGGTACCGGTCCAAACTCACCAGGTGGGTTCTGTTCAAGCTTCAGCTCACCTGCTGCCTGAAGCAAACAGCCAAACAGGAAACTGCTGCTGATTGGTTGACTGTGGAGAATCTACTCAGGTGTTCTGGTTCTGGTTCTGAAGAGTGGACCATCAAATTCTCTTTTCTTTGTGAAGGTTCTGTTAGGAGAGCACAGTTCTGATAAATACAGCCGACTGGACCGCCAGCTGCAGAACGCCAACTCCCAGTTCCTGGAGGAGCAGCAGGTCCAGCAGCAGGTGCAGAACCAGCTGAACGATACCAGAACCTGTGTGCTGACTGGACCCACTTATAACGTCTGCTTCCTGTTTGTTCTAGCTGATCACAGAGAAACAAGACGAGCAGCTGGAGCTGGTGTCCGGAACCATAGGGGTTCTGAAGAACATGTCGGAGCGGATCGGCATGGAGCTGGACGAACAAGCTGTGTAAGGATCCAGAGGTCCAGAGCATTTGGTCTGCAGGACCGGGTTCTGTCTGCAGGACCGGGTTCTGTCTGCAGGACCGGGTTCTGTCAGCAGGACCAGGTTCTGTCAGCTGGCCCAAGCACTAAAGGAGTGTTTTTATAACCATGTAAAGTTTATTTCTTCAGCTCTTTGACAGAAAAACCACACAATAAAGAAAGAGCAAAATAAGAAGAAAACCAGTTGACGGATTTTAAAGACGTTTTTAAACCAACCGGTTTAAAACTACAACTAACCAGTTGTAGTTTTAGATAGAAGCTGGTCTTCAGGAACCTGGTTTCATGTTCTGTTCTTGATTTGATTTGATTTGATTTATTTATTTAACAGGAAAAGATTATTAAAACTCAAGCCTGACTCAGCATAATTGCTGTTTTACAGCAGGTTCCTGTTCTGCAGCACATAAAACACTCAGAATTACAGCATCACAATCACATC